TTGGAGCTCCAGTAATCCGCCGGACCTGTGGGGGAATTCTCTACTCCGACACGCCACTCAAGCCGTACCGCCAATTTCACTATCAATCACTTCAATCTTGGCTGGCCCGGATGCTGCTGTTCCTGGGATTCGAAGACGCTTTGGATGAATCATTGAAGCACAATAGCAATTCTTCGTCAATGCATGATATTTGGGATGGGGATATGTGGAAAACTTTTGAGCATTCAGGAGAACGTTTCACTCTGAAAAGTGGCAACATTATTTTTGGTCTATATATTGATTGGTTTAACCCACACGGACGCGGCTCTCGCAAGGTATCATCCCATGGAACAGTACTACTTATATGCTTTAATTTACCTCCTACCTTACGATATAAAGAAGAAAACTTGTTTCTATTTGGTACAATTCCCGGGCCACATGAGCCAAGATTTGATCAATTGAACGGGATTTTGAAGCCTCTGGTAGTGCAATTTCAGTCGCTTTGGGACGGAATCTTCTTCACTTCAACTCCCAATCACCCTAACGGTCGTGTGATACGTGCTGCTATATGGCCCTTGATAGCTGATATCTTAGGAATGAGGAAGATGGCTGGTTTTGCAGCTCATTCCGCCCATAATTTTTGTGCCCACTGTGCACTTCCCAGAAAAGAACGGGACAATACTGATATTACTACGTGGCCGAAGAGGTGTAACCACCAGCAGCACGCAGAAGAATGGAGGGATGCAACTACACTAGACAAACAAGAAAAGGTGTTTAACGACTTTGGAGTCCGATACACAGTTCTCTCTGAGCTGCCTTACTGGCGACCTATTCAATTTGTCACGGTTGATATAATGCACTGTATCCTACTCGGACTACTCAAAGACCACGCATGCTCATTCCTCAAGCTTGGTCAGGCAGGCGACTCACTCAAGTCAAAGCAAAAATCGAGTGCCTCAAAAACTTCTTTACATAGGACTGGAGAAGTTAGGCCAGATGTCTCCGTCTTAGTGAGTTTTTCACTGACAGTGACTTACACCATTGTGATTCATCGTTGAATTTTTCTTGTTTCTCCCCCTCCAAGCCTGAAAGTTCAAACGCATCTCATTCTGAGGCAAGTTTTGAATCTGGGATTAGCTCAATAGAAAAGAGCTCTATTTCTAGCTTTCCGTCTCGAGATTTTACTATGTCTTGCAGCCCTAGTGGCTCGTATCTTCAAACACCTATGCAATTCAGCTCCAGTCAGGATCTCTTCAACTTCTCTCCGATTCTTTTGATCAAGTCAGCAAAAAACGTGACCGCTCTCGTGGTTCAAACTGCGAAACAAACCCCTCAAAGCGCCCTAGGACTTCGAAAAACTCGGCTAGCTCTTCTCAGGCATTCGATGGACCTCAACGTCGCCGCTCGCTTCGACTACAGACACAAAACAAGGGAAAAGCCGCTGATAACGTCGAAGGGCGTAATACCAGTTTAAAAAAGAGAGCCAAAAAGTATATTCAACCAAGTAGTAATGATATACCACCCAAGCCTTCTAACCCTCCTAAAGCTCAACGCATACGCAAAACTAAACCTCCCAAACAGCCAAGTCTTTCATTAACAGACTCTGATCTAATTCACATACATCACGTGATCCGCACTTCAAAAGCTCCAAGCTGGATGACACGGCCTTCAGTGAAGATTGGAATATCAGGCCTTGGGTCCACAAAAGCATCCGAATGGTTGACCTTATACGCTGTGTACTTTGTTCTTTCAATAATTCCTCAGCTCTACTATTCCAGCGATTCCAAGCGCCAGGCTATGTGTCAAAGCTTGATACATGCTGTAGAGATCACCAATTGTACCTTTTCTCGGACGTTCAGCAATGAAGATGGCAATGATCTACAAATAATGCTCAAGAACTATCGTGACCATCTGCTGACTCACTGGAAGGACGTCAGTGTCAAGCCCAATCTGCATTATGCACAGCATATATCCGAAATCGCTGCTCTTTTTGGCCCTCCGGCTTACACAGCTGCCTGGGTCGGTGAACGTGTGAATGGCGTACTTGTAAAGATTCCAAAGAACTACCACACAGGTGCGATGATTCCAATGTTTGGTTTTGGATAACACTAGCTTACAAATGTTTGATTCACCAGGAGAGGTCGACCGAACGATGTGTCAATCGTTCATCCGTCGAGGGATCTTCAAAGCTGCATTAAAAAGTAGCCCCACCTTTCTCAGTGGAGCTGGCGAGACAATCAACAAAAAAGCAATTGAAAAGCTCACAGGGAGTGTAGCAGAAAACTGGTCTGACGACACCACCATTGATTATGAAACATATCAGGTTTGGCTTCATTATCTGAATTTCCAGTTGAGTGAGCGTTATGGTTGTTGGAATAGTCACGACGTCATTACCTGAACATCGCTGTATTCCATTATCTTTCTCACGATTGATGTGCTTACCATCTTCCTTCACATCTCATCATTTGTAGACCATCTAGTGTTTCTCATCTGATCCTCTGATCAATGATCAGTGATCGCTATTTCTCATCGGATCAATCTACTTGTGTTCTCTTTCTACTAAGCTATTACATAAAGCTTACGTATCAAACTTTGTATATAGACTTCCTAGAGCCACACCAGGAAAGGGCTTTTCTCCTCACCCTTTCCGCATTTCACTCGTGTGCTCTAGGTAGGTCTATCTTTGTTTTCTTTTGTCTTTTTCTTATGTTTGTGTTGTCTCATGAAATACTAAGGCCCTCACCCTTTCCGCATTTCACTCGTGTGCTCTAGTCCATCGCAACAGGTTATGAGCCCCATTCTCTACCAACTGCTCTAAATTTTTTTCGAAAAACTCTATCTCGACTATTGCGCCGCTTTTCTCAAGGGTCCCTGGTTATCTTTTCAGATCTCCATTGTATTTAAACTTAAATCTCCAAATATTATATTCCATCAGAACCTTAAACCCATCTCTTCATCTCGTGTGATCACATCTCTCGTCGCTCAATCTGGATCTTCCTGTTCTGTACACTGTTGTCATCTACCCGCCAACATCCTCGAGCATTTATCCTCCAAATTATCCTCCGACTAGTTCAATTTTATATCCTAATCCAACAACACTTCCATTCATCGCATCTACATCTCCGGTCGTTATGGATTCGTCAACTAGCGGAGATGATCGTACCTCCACCAGGATGTCGGGTATCACTGCTTTGAAAGCACCCGGGCCTGATTCCAATTACCTGGATTGGGAGTTTGCCGTCGAACTCTATCTCATCGACGCTAAACTTACCTACGTGCTCCAAGAGGGCGATAAGAAAGCCAAGGTTGCTTCTTTCGACGCCGATAACGCGCGCGTTTGTTCCCTCATCAGTCGGGCTGTAGAAGACATCAACTATCAGTACATTAAACCTCATCGACGCGACGCATTTGCCATGTGGAAAGCTTTGAAGCTTGCACATGAAGACTCGACCTCAGGAGGCCGAATGCTCATCTTGAATGCGCTCATCACGTCGAAGATGTCCGATAGCGATTTAGATGCGCACTTACTCAACATGAACCGATTGTTTGAGAAGCTGTCATCCCTCATTACGACTGATCATCCGTTAACGGCGGATGATATTTTTTCTACGTCTCTTATCAACTCGTTACCGGATGACTGGGCACATGTTGTGACTCCTCTTATGCAGCAAAAGACCACTGACTCGGCGTCTGTTGTTCGTGCCATCAAAAACGCACAAATTCGTCGTCAATTACTACAC